CGCTTAGAATGAAAACCCGAAAGGGCTTCCTAAGTTGAAAAAAGGAAAAAGAGAAAAAAAAAACGTTTAGGGTGAAAACCCGAAAAGATGCCCTAAATTGAAAAAAGAAAAAGAGAAAAAGAGAAAAAGAAAAAAGAAAAGAAAAATAAGATGGGTTCAAGATGAAAACCCGCAAAGAGCGTCTTGCAACCAACGATAGGTCCAAGTTGAAAACCCGAAAGGGCGATTTGGATATCAGTTTAAGAAATCCAGATAGTGGAAGCATCCCGGCATCTGAATCTCCTACAAACTCAACAAGTCGGAGAAAGGTTGTACTCTCTAGAACGTTGTCGCATTTTCAAAGATCCCTTGGCAAAGGCTGTGTTCAAAGTCACCTGACGGCTTTTCAGCTCAGAAGTGCCCACATTATCGAGATCTCATATTTCATCATGTATTCATTTTTCAAAATGTTTGTCTTGTATTATTTGTTTTTTTCTCTCTTATGAATAGAGACAATCTTTTTCTCTAAATCAATTCCTTTCGAGCATCTTGAATTGAACTTAAACTCAATGATTTATTTACTTATGCAAAAGATAATTGCATATTACTGTACAAAGATTCATTGAAAAGTACAGGTACCCGGAAATCGGACAAGGCTCAGGAACATACTTGAGATGGTCTAGAAGCATTTCCCAAATCAAGAGACAAATAGGATGTGCCCATCAGATTTAAACATTTGAAGAATTCAAGATCAGGGATCAAAACTTCAAGATTTCAAAATCAAGAGTCAACAACAGGCCATCGAAGATCAAGATTTCTCTCCAGAGCCCAGAATAACATATGTTGCATATGCATTTTAGGCATACCTAAGGGCATTGCATCCATCGCATATATGCATCACTTTGCAGGTTTTAGCTAGAGCCAATTTCAACTTCACAGCGAATGATATTGGACTCGAAACAACACAATTTGCTCGAGAGTAGATTTCAACTTCACGATGAAGGATATCTAGCTCGAAGCCAAACTTCATAATAAAGGGGTTATCCACGTTTTCAACTTCACGACGAAGGGAATCGTGCCCACCCGCAACATACAATACTTGGATTTCAACTTCACGACGAAGGATATTCAAGTCAAGGCTCAACTTCTCGACGAAGGGGCCATCCACGATTTCAACTCCACGACGGAGGATATCGCACCCACACATTCACGATTTCAACTCCACGACGGAGGATATCGTGCCATTCAGGGCTCGACTTCACGACGAAGGGGCTTCCCAATTTCATAGCCAATTTTAACTTCACAACGAAGGATATTGGACCCAAGACAACACAAGCTCAACTTCACGACGAAGGGGCGTCTGATTGTCAAATTCATTCAGAGTCAATTTCAACTTCACAGCGAAGGATATTAGACTCGAGACAACACAAGCTCAACTTCACAGCGAAGGGGCGGTTGACTGTCAACAAACAATTGTTCGGGTCCAGAGCCAATTTCAACTTCACGACGGAGGATATTGGACTCGGAGCAATACAACTTACTTGGATTTCAAGTTCACGACGAAGGATATCCAACTACCAGGCTCAACTTCACTACGAATGGGCTACCCGCGGTTTCAACTTCACGACCAAGGGAATCGTGCACACAAGCAGCATCTATCTCTATATCAGGATTTCAACTTCACAACGAAGGATATCCAACTCAAAGAGGGAACATTTGTTAATAAACTTTCCAGTTTCAGAGTCAATTTCAACTTCACGACGAAGAATATTGGCCTCGAAACAACGCAACTTACATTGGATTTCAACTTCACGACGAAGGATATCCAATTCCAAGGCTCAACTTCACGACGAAGGGGCCATATACAATTCTAACTTCACAAATAGATTGAACAAACTTCACGACGAAGGAGTCATCTGTAACACATCCATACCGAAGCCTACGGGTCAAGCTTCACCTTCACGACGAAGTATCTTGAGCCAGAAGATGATCCAGGAGCTACTGGTCAAAGCTTTGAGTTTGATTTCAACTTCATGACGAAGGATTTCATGCTCAGAATTTTTCAGTTTCGACTCAACCTCACGACGAGGGAGTTATTTTATGATTTAAATTGACAAACCAGTCTTAATGTCGGATATCAACTCTACGACGGAAGATATCTGATATTGTTAAAATTTGTGTCTTTTAATCTTTGCTCCATTTTTGTTACACGATAATGAGCAAAGAGAGGCAATTGAAGACACCAAATTTTATCCTTTAATATATTTACATTACAGGTTATTTATTTTATTACACATATATTATACACATATTTACATATATATATTTTTATTTTACATTGTGTCAGGCCCGGAACCAGATCCCACATGGCCCAACAGACCAACACAACCCACGACCCAACAAGAAACCCTAAGGAAAATTAGGGTTGTTGTTGTTCCAACAACCGCTCACCAGCGCCGCAAGCCTCCTCTCGCACGTCTCTCTTCACTCAACAAGCCCGATTCCCTCGGTGCATCAACCACCAAATCCCGTAAACTCCGACGCAAGGAATACCCACACAAAATAACAAAAGATACCAAGGAGCATTAGAATTTAAAATCAAATAGGACTCTGCTAAAGATAGTATTTCATAGACTATAAATAAGTGTAATCCATTTGGTTGTAACATTACGGTTGATACGAAATAAAAGCCAGAAATTACAAGCAAGCTACGAGGGTATTCAAATAATTAATTTTCTTTTCGAAAGCAAAGTAAAGGTAAAAGGATCTCACCTTTTCGTCTGTGATGCTTGCATGTGGAACTGATATTTTCTCATTTGACGTTTTGGTTTGAATACAATTTTTTTTTGAGTTTTCTTTTTCAGATCTACACTTCCCCGAATATTTTTTTGAAAAAACCGTTTTGATTTTTTGAGAGTGGATATGAAAAGCTTTTTAAAAAAAACAAAAAAAGTAAGTTTTGTTGCTGATGAACGGAGGCCGGCGAGGCGACAACGGTGGTCGGAATATGGAATTTATGGTGGCGTTCATGTGTTCATCAAAAACACAAGAAAAAACCAGAGAAAACAAAGGAATGAGAGTGGAGCCTTGATCCAGAAATGAAAACAATGAAAATTAAAAGAGTTTTTTTAGGCTTTATACATAGCCCATATTGAACCCGTGCAACTCGATCCATTATCAGGTGACCCGCGCGTTTTGTAATAAAAACTGCGTTTCGGTCCCTCATTGTTTTTAACAGGCCTCTTTTGCTCACCAAAATTCGATTTCATCCTCGAAATACTTCAAAATTGGTCACGCAATCCTCTGTTTTTACGATTTAATCCTTTTTATAGATTTTAACTTTAATTTTCCTTTTTTTATCATACATTGCATTATAATATATATATATATATATATATATATATATATATATATATATATATATATATATATATATATAGTTAATATTATTCCTTATATTTTATTTTTACATACCCGTACTATTTTTTTATTTTTTTATCATTAGTATTATTATATATATATATTTATATTTCATATTTTATATCCTATATTTATATATATACGTATTTTTCTATTATTTTTATATTTTCATTTTTTATTATTATATCATACAATTTCTTATTTTATATTTTTATTATTCTTTTGCCTTTATTATTATTATTATTATTTATATATATTTTTTCTTTATTACCATTATTATATGTTATGTAAATTTATTTTGTAAATTCCATTTTATCTTTTATATCTTCCTTTTTTTGTATTGTTATTTTTATCTTCTTTATGCTATGCATTTTATTTATATATATCTTTCTTTATATTTGTTTTGTGTATCTATAATTTTGTTATTTGTCTTGTTTACATTTTCTTTGCATGTGCTACTTTCTCTACTTTATTGCATTTATTTTTTATCTTACCTTCTTCATTTTACTCATTTTTATTATCTTGTTATCTAACACAATTTTTAACTTTTAAAGGATACATCTTCAAATTAATCAGAGGTAGGTAATTTTGGATCGTAATTTTACCTTTTAAGTTAAACTTACAATTTTCTTAATTAAAGACAACTGTAAATTACATAGTACCGAAAGGGCAGTTCAAGGGTGCTAACCCTTCATTGACTGTAACCGACTCCCGAATCCGACAAATCACTTGTAAGACGCAGATCAGGTAAGAGATAAGGTATTCGATCAACCCGTTTTATTTTTAAAATAAATTATCGGTGGCGACTCCTAACCCAATCAATTATTCAAGTCGAAACTCAATTCCGGGACCCAACCGAAAGACGGTTCCAACACATATAATATAAAATCTTAGGTTTGTCCTTACATGTAGTTCGGTGATAAGCCATTGGAATCGATATATAACTTGGCTTAGCCTAATTACATGAATGTTAGTGTTACATCGATGGAGGCCTGAAGTGTTGTTAGTTGTGCAATGGCTTCGGGATGTTGGTAAAGTACCCCTGAGACACCGATCGTTTAGCATCGTGTTTTGGTCTTTTAGCGGTTAATCTCGATTCAATCTTGAGTTAGAGATGAAATGATTGATGTGTGTTCAGTATTTGGCACAATATGATGAAAGTCCCAATTTGTTGAAGACAAAGAGGCGACGCATGCTTCATCATTACTCTCAGGTCTTCAGTAAGCCACACACACCGGTCTCTTGCTCCTTATCATCAAATCAAAGGCTTGATGACCTCAATTTCATCAACGGCTGCACCATTTATTGCTTACATAAATTATAATGCAAATCTCCGCTCCTTACCATAAATACACTTCCCAAATTCATGATTTCCCAATGCGAACCTTCCCGACACAGTTTCTTTTATTTATTATAAAAGAAAACGTGACACATGGTCGGGTATGAATGGGATAACCTTAGAATCACTTTATCATTATCCCCTATCCAAACCCCATCGGATTTTAATATTTGTATATCTCCAACATTTCAAGGGAATATTCCTTTTTAAATGAGTGGAGACCTTACCTTCGAATCATCAATACAATCACTTTTAAATAATATCCAACTAATTTGAGTTCCAATTCGTATTTTTCTCATATTTGTCTTGGAACTAATGCCCAACTCTTTTATTAATTAAAAATTCATACAAGCTGTCGAAATGGGACAGTTTGTTTAATAAATCCGAGTGATGACTCATCTGATTCTTCCAATGGTCCCTCCAGAATTTATTGCAATTGCTACTTGGGTTGTTTGATATTGTTAACAACCATTTCTTCGTGCTTCTTTTGCCGTTTTGCAACTAATGGATCGAATCTGTGCTCATAACTGAACCAAGAAAAATAATCAGTAATCAGGAGTTAGCTATGCCCATTGGCTTAGCATATCACATCTTAGATATTCCCACCCACAAACTATATTTATCTGCTTCTGCAAATACTTTTCTTTCTCGTCTCATAAATCTAATATTCATAAAAGTTGATATAATTTATATGATCCAAGTACTGTAAAACGACTCTTTTATATAATCTGTTCATTTTATAATATTAAGATCAGATTTTCTATCGATTATGATCAATGAACTGAATTACCTAATACTAAAGTAAAAGCACTTACCCATTGATGTTAAAACGCCAATCGTTCAAAGACTGTTTGGTGTTTTAAGTCCTCAACTCATTGACCTGCGAAAATCGAATAACCAAAAATATTAACTATCAGAAAATTTGAAAGGATAAAGAACACAAAATATAATCTTCTATTAAAAGGCAAAAGGAAAAAAAGATCAGAACAAGAAATAAAAACAAAAAAAATGAAGTAAAAACAGGGCGATGATAAATCCCGCGAAAATATAACACGCGTGGACCACACGTGTTAATGAGGGGAAACTGTTGAGGATAAGGAAGAAGAACGTGGCACGAGAATTCTGGAAACTGCTTTAATGATTAAGCGCTAATGGAGATCGAGCAGAAGAGAGAATTATTATTGGGGGAAGCTCAGAGAAATTGAAGTTTAGTGGAACTCGGCCATCAAAAACATTCCGAAAGAGAAAAAAGTTGGGGATTTTTGGGAGATGATCGAAAACGAATATAGGAGCTGAGAATTCATTAATGGCTACTCATTAATCAAAACCAGTTCTTAAAGGATATACATTTTCAAATACAAACATCATAATATATGGTTTAAGTTCTTTTTCTTCTTCTATGGGTAGTATTGATCATTACTTGTTCTTCACTAAGGATCACAACTGACTAATAAATCATATGATCTTTCGCATCTTTCCATCCTCTGCTATTGCCTGTAATTCCCGCTGTGAACAAGGTAAATATAACTAGGTTGACCATGGTAACCGTAGTAAGGAATCATCTGTCCGGCCGATTTCTTAGAGCAAAGAGGGAAAGCTACGGGAGACCCTGGGATCTGACGTATGCAGGAATATCTGGGAGTGGATGAAGAAGATGACTTCGAAGACGCAGTCGATGATGAAGGCGGCGAAGAAATCGATTTTCTAGCCGGTTTCGGCGGCGAGGAAATCGATTTTCTGGCCGGTTTCAGCGGCGAAAGGAAGACTCTGATCTTTAAAGAAGACGGAGGCGAAGCCACACGATCGTATTCCTCGATGAGATTCGCGATATCCTCATCGGAAGTGATCGAAACCAGAGCGTCTAAATCCTCCGTCGGCAACTGGCAACGTAGACTCACCGGTGTCCCGCACATCTCTCCCATCTTCATCGATAACTCTGTATATAATATATATTATTTCTCCATGCTTAAAACAACGCCGATTTGACTTCAAAATATTCTACTTCAAATGAAAAAAGAAGGTGGATAAAATAATAGAAGAAATACTAACCCGCGAAGGAAATGGACCGGTCAACGGCGAGTACACGGGTTTCACCGCCGTGATAACGGAGTTTCCCGTCAGGGTAACGAGGGACGATTTTCCCGCCGTAACTGCAGAGGAATTTGATGGTGGGGTTAGTTCCGACCATGCTTTTTGTTGGATTGGGTACAGTTGATAAGAGATCCGGTGTCTGTGAACAGAGAAGTCAAGTATATTTGTCGTTTTCGGCGGCGGAGGAAGAGGAGGAAGATGCTGTTGTGTAGTGGCACCTTCAAGCCTAGGTTTGGTCATCCTTTGAACCGTATTTATAGAGTTTTAGCTTATGCTATTCGGTAACGGGAGAGGGTGAAAAAGTGTAGAGGATCCCACAATGCTAACGTCATAGATTCCAATTCTTGAGGTAAAAGTTTTAATTTTCAAATTCAGTCCAAACGTCCGTTTTGAATTTTTTTTATTAAAATAAACTTATTCTTTTTTTGTTACGTTAGAATAAACTTATTTAATTGACAAGTCGTACGAACTAATATATTTAAATGGTTAAATAATTATTGTTATTTATTAAGATTTTAAATTTAAACATTATATATGCAGAAATATAAACATTCAATATCAAATGCTTGAAATTATTTAAATAAATATTACCTTATATTTATCTCATATTAATTCAAAAAAAAATATATGAGTTGTGAATAATTTTCACAACCAAAATATAAGTTATTGTTAATGAAAACATGAATGGATGTGATCATTTATTTCATATTTGATAAATTTTGATCTTATCCAGTTAATCTTTTATTTTAATAATTTCAATTTAGATCAATTTTTTATGAGTGTAATTGAGTCTGTTGGGATTTCGATGAAGCTTAATTGATCAATCGAATAATTTTTCAAGAGGGGTGAATTGACTTTTTGAGTTTAGGGATTAAAGGAGTAAAAAAGATAACACAATTTACACAAGGATTTATAGTGGTTCGACTTCTCAACCAAGTCTACATCCACTATCATAGTTCCTCACCAAGGATTTTCTAACAAATTCACTAATTTATTCTTTCTTTTTCTAGGAAAAAAAGATAACATTTACAACTCCCTAGTTTTTCAAAGGCTAAGCTAGAACCAATCCCCTTTACAAAAGGAATAAAGATGTAAACAAGAAAAACATCTCAAAAGGAAGGTGTTTACAAATATTTAAGCTCACAAGAAAAACAATTAAAAGATTTGTAATGAGCTTAAAACACTAATATTTACAAGAGAAAGGAAAATAAGAATGAAAAACTCTTATTTTGTGTTTGATTGCTTAGATAGATGTTATGTAACCTTCTTCAAGTGTCCTCAACTTATTTTTATATGTTGGAATGAGTTTGTGGCCATTTCTAGCCGTTGAGGATTAATTTTATGCAAAATAAAACAGTTCAGGAAGGAAGTATCGGTACTCATATAACGAGTATTGGTACTACCTTTGTAATATTTAAATAAACTAGCCGTTAAAAACAGTTGGGCTTGACCAGTATCAATACTATGCTTCATGGTATAGATACCACTGAGTAAAGTAGTATCGGTACCCCTTTGAGTATCGGTACCTATTTTGCATTCTAGAATTTGAGCAATTTGGAAAACAACTAGTAGTATCGATACTACCTAGAGATTATCGATACTTCTCTTACCTTTGGTATCGGTACCACATGAACAATATCGGTATTGTTCATGTAGTATCAATGCTGTAAGAACAATATCGATACTACGTACCCAGAAAACCTGTTTTGTGCTCAAATTATGCTTTAATGGACTTTGAATTATTTTTGAAAACTTTGAACAAATTCAATCATGTCCAAAAACATTTGCCTTAATTTTTTATATCAAAATATTATAAAACCTAGTTCAACAATCTCCCCTTTTTGATATAACAAAACATTTGAAAAATTGTTTTGGAAAAACTTCCCCTTAATAAAACATTTCATGAAAAACAAAAATATTTGGAAAATATTAAAGCTCCCTTTTTTTCATTGTCACACCCCAATTTAGGGGCTAAATTTTAATAATTTTAACTATCGAATTAAAGTTGTAACAAGGGAGAAATTAAGGATCAAATTGTAAATTTTTAAAAGTTGTAACTTGGTTTTGGAACTTGTGGGAAACTCAGGGACTTAAAACTAAATTATCCCATTTTTAATGGTCAGTGAATAATAAACCCCCAAATTTGGATTGAACCAATTTCCCCCCAAATTGGTTATACCCTAATTGGCATCGCCTCTGCCTCAATTCGCCGCCGTCTGACCACCCCAGATAGTGCCCCCTCTGTCATTCAGTTCGTCGTTGACCGACGAGCAGAACCCCCCAAACCCCTTGTCCAAAATCGATACCGTTCATCGTAAAACCTACCGTGAACTTTAGTCGAAAACCATAAAAAAACTCGCATGAAATTTTCGTGATTCTGTAAGATCCGACGACCGTCTCATTTCACCGCCCCAAGTACCAGACTCCCTAGGTGTTTCCGACCAAAACCCGATAGAGACCGTCCCCTTTGTCGTCATTTTTTCCGATCGCCGACGTGGGTAAGTTTGGTTTTAATTTCACGTAATTTTGTCTCGATTTTTGAGTTAATTGGTTTGTAAATGTTGTTTTGGAGCTCCCAGAAGGATCGACCGCCAGAACTGTCATCGTCACGCGCTACCACGTGCCGTCGTGTGGGGCTTGTCCCCAGCTCTAGTTTCTTCTAGAACCGGTCCAGCCGGTCTGGACCGATCTGAAATGAGTCAGCCCGACCCGTTGACTTTGACTTAACCCGTTGACCATTGACCGGTCTGACCATTGACTTTGATCGGTCTGACTGTTGATCTTGAAAAAAAGTCAAATTTTTTTAAAAGTCCTATTTTATGTTTTTCGACGTCCTGAGTCCGAAGTCTGTTTTTCCAAATTTTCACCCGATAAGTTGTTTTTCAATGATTTATCTTCAAAATCAAATTTGGTTTTCTAATTAAGTTCAGTTTCTAACGTAAAATTGTTTGCTTTGTATCCGAGGAATTATTGGAAATTTAATTAAAGTTCGAGGGTGATCGAATGGAGTTTAAATGGTCGATCGATATGACATAAAAATCGAGGTAATACTCTATTACCTTTTGTATACTTTTTGAAACCCATTGATAAATGATAAATGCATGAATGAAAATGATTGGTTCATTAGGTGTATTTAACTATCATTAGACTCGGACAGAAATTGAAATAAAGACGGAACATTGTATAAGACTCTGACGACTTTAAAAAAAAGAAATTGGTAGATCGATCGAAAATAAATATCAGTTTAATGATTTAATCAGTAAATCAATCAATCTTAGAACTTGTAAATTATGATTAATCTCGTTAAAGGTTAAATGTTGGGAATATTTGGATAGAAATTACCAAAAATATCTCTATGGGGTAGAATTACGAAAATGCCCTTGTACTGTAAAAGACCAAGACTTCCCCTGATGGTGAAGAATAACCTAGAAAGAACATACTTGACCAATTATCATAAAAAGTTCATATTGTTTGGATTGAAAGGAATTACATAAATGTCCTCGTGCTACAAAATAACCTCAATTGTTCAAATAACCAAAATAACCTGAACTCTAAAGGAATTAGAATATATTGAAGCCTAAGTTATCATAGGTAATACTACTGACATAATTGAATGAAGTGTAAAAAGGACTATAGATGACTATGATAAGGGAGACGACCTGAGAACTTATATTATGATCCACTTGAATCTTGGAATTACCGATTAAATTCCTGATTTATTTGGAATACCTATGAAGTGTAATATGATTCGAAGTACGTCCAAGATTTGGAATAATTATATACCCTCGGCTTTGAAATGAATAAATCAACCTCGAATACCAAACTGACTATATTATATGATCAATTTGAACTGAATGAAAATATTGTATGTATTCAAATTTGTGAAAACGACCGAATTACTCTGGAAACTCCGAAGTGACAGGGATAAACTTAACTAATAAATGGCCACAATACCCTCAAAGACCTTGTATTAAGGGAATGACTTAGATAAGTATGGAAACGCTGATGAACCTCTTTGTTGTACTGTCTATAAGGGTGTTGAACAAAGAATCAAACACGTTGACATTTCCTGATATCATTGCAATTCCGAAATGAAATAAAGATCCATTCAGTGATGATTCTGAAAATGATCAATTTTACAAGAGTTGTATGTATTGAAAAGTTAATACCTTTGAAGTGCAACGATTTGACCGGTTGACAGGCATCAGTGTTGGGAGTTGTTCAATTCGAGTTAACTCGATATTCTGATAGATCGACACAGTTCTTAAATGCCCTAAATCTTCGATTCTCCCTTATTAGATCAAATCACTAAGAATTCTCCAAGAACCTAATGCCCTAAATGCATCTGATTTTCTGAATAATGGAATTACTCCTATGGTATATGAAAACATAAGTAACTCTGATGCAAAGGATTCTGAATACCTTTTCGATTACATAGTGCCTCCGAAAAATATCCGAATACTATATGATCTTGATAAATCACATTCTGAATAACTGATATCAATTGTTAGACAAATATCATTTGCAATAAATCACATGCATAAACATTTAAATTAAGGTCAAAAATTAAAAATTGTAAAAACAAAGTATTAAAAAAATTAGAAAATGTTTATCACAACACTTTTTAACATACATGAGATAGAAACATAAGATTATTTAAAATCAAAACTCATGCATGCTTAAACTAAATGAGCAACCAATTATGAAGATAATTAAAATAAGCTTAGAGGTTACCCATTCCATATAAAGTGTGGCTTGAGCATTTGAGTATCTTCACTTTCATCACCATTGCTCCCACACACCTACAAGAGACATCTATATGGATTTTGGTATCCAAATTGCTTTGGATCCTTGAACGTTAGTTTCAATGTCCATTGTTCCCTTAGGAATCCATACTTGTTTAATTTTAAAACGTTTTCCTTTCTTTAAAGGACAAGTATGTTCCTTGTGACCATGATAATGAAAATGTGAGCATTTTGTCACTATGAAATTAGATGAATTATTTAAAATATTTTCCTTTTCTTTTGTTAAGCATTTAAACTTAACCTTTAAATCAAAACTCTTTTTTAAAATTTTCATTTTTCATTTTTCATTTTTGAAAGCTCTAAATCCCTTTTCAAAATTTCATTTTGTTTTTCAAAATAAACCTTTGCTTTCAAAAGAAAATCATTTTCAACTTTAAGTTTTGAGATTATTTTTTTGTATTTGGAGTTC